TAGATTTGTAAAGACACATCCAGTTTTGGTAGAAGCTGCTCAAAACATAGCTGCAGCAGTTCATGCAGAAGTACAGAACAATGCAACTGCTGGCTCCAACTCTTCCTTATCTAATTCACAACCTGCTACCTATTCTTATAGTTTAGATAATTTAAGTGATGATGATGAAATGGCAGGGGATTCTTCTCAATCTTCAGACTCTACCCAACCACCAAACTTATCTTCTAATCCATCAAACTCTATAATTACTGATGCACAACTTGCAGCAGCAGTTTCTAGAGCAAGAGCTAGGAGTTTTCCTCTTTCCAATTCTCCTTCATCTACTTCAGCTGCTAGCACAAATTCTGGAATAATAACTACAGAAATGTTTACACAAGCTATGCAACAAGCATCTGCAGCAACACCAGGTTTATTAAGTGATTCTACATGGACACCAATTCTACCACAATTTACGGATTTGCAACGACAGTTAGCGCAAATGCATGAACTGGGACTGCTAGATGATACACTGAATATGCGTGCATTATATTTTACAAACGGCGACGTTCAAGCAGCGATTGACCTTGTGTTCACTGGTTTTAGCAATAATTAAGTTTATTAAATTAAAATTTGCAGTGTACCTATTTGAAAATTGTACACATAAGTATAATTGTATGTTTTATTTTTAAGAATTAATTTTACAGAACTTAAAAAAAGAAAAACTCCACAATATCTAAAAGAAAGTTTAATTTTGTTTCTATTACTTCAGACATTTAAAAACAACTTTCGAAAGTGTATAGTTGACAAAATTTACGAAATAGAAATATATCATAAACATAAGGTGAAGAAGTATCAAAAAAATAATAAAATTGAATCGTTAACAATTTACATTTTCATTCCTTTATGAATATCCCTTATTATTTGATTTATATAATAATTCTAAGTCGTTGAGGTTGCATATACATATTGACGTCATATTGCATTATGTTATAACGGAAATAATTTTTTTTTGTTTGCATATTCTTTCAAAGTTCGTTAAAATGATATAAATTTTTTATGCTAGTTTTAAAAATTTTGCGTTAACACGTGGCGAACCACGTGGTGCAATAGCTGCATCTGCGTTTATGTTTCGATATTCAGTTAATATGTTATATCTTGTAGCCAGTAGTGTTTCACGCTTTTCCTACGATTTAAAGGAAAATTGACCAAAAATGCTATTAGACAAAATAATAAAAGAAGGATATAAGAGAATAATTTCAGAAACTTCAAATGTAACTTTTATTATTGCTCTTTTTCGATGAAAATGAACCAAATAGAAAAACAGAATATCTTCCGAAAAATGCTCAGGGTTGAATAACATCTGATACGGCACTGCAAGAAAGTGCGTGACGAAGTATCGCGTGTATCCCGAGCTTCGGGTGCACGCGTGCACGCATCGGTGTGAATGCAATTGTGTGGGTTTAGTGTACGCGAGCGCGCGGTCGGTTCAGTGAAGGGGAATTGTACGATGTTCCGTCAGTAGGAATCGGGATTTTGTGTCGGCCGGACGCGTGGAGGAGTGGCAAATCTGAGAAATCGCACGAGTACATATGACAGAAGCGGCACGTGCTTGCGCGAACACATAAGAAGTGCACACCGTCACCGGACCAGTTCTTTCGTACGGTGTAAGTCGAGTGAAAAGGGAAGACAGTTGCATCGTGTGCAATCGTGGAAACGAGTCCAGAATTTGCCGGCTTTCTTTCACGTTGCCCGAGATGCCGTCATCTGCATTCCCGAAAAGCGTCGAACGTTAAGAATCGTCTTTATATTATCCAACGGACAGATGTGAGAGCAGCTCCAAGACGTGAATATTCATGGCGTGAGGTTATGGGGGGATCGGATACCTGACAGAAACTCTGTTCAACTCGAAGTCCCTTTTACGTGGCTGAGAAAGAAGGTGAAGGACGAAATGCTTGCTTTTCTTTACCCCCTCGCTCGCGACTGATTCCTTATTGTGAAAAAGACACGAGAACACGTACCGGTCTTTCTTCCCCTGCGTAAACGGGAATAATGCAGCGAAACATTAGAATGCATCTGTAGCAAAGGCCGGCGCTTGGGGCGAGCCGGCTGCGTTGCCAAGGCACTGCAACATTTCTCAAAATCTACCAGAGCTTTTTCATCGTTAGATTTTCATTGTATTGTTAACATTAAACCATATTTACCTATAAACGTACAGTAACATATTGGAACGTTTGAATTTTGAAATTCATTTTTATTCGCGTTCGTAAGATCATTTACCCATTGTTGATACGAATGAACGGGATGTGACATAACGTATAATTGGAAAAGGAAAGAGGGAAACGTAGTAGAGAGCGATACGTACGTTTTCTCTTGTTGTTTTCTGGTATAAAGTAACAAACGAGGAAGTTCTTTTTAAGTAGAACGGTGGCCATAATTATTTTAGTTACACGTGCACGGATGGCATACGGTCGAAATGCTATCGGGAATCGAATGATCATGAGGGTTCACCACGCATGGTTACCTGTCACGAGCGTTTCCGTGAATACTACGTAAATCAACGGTGCACGATTAACGTGTACTTCCGGTATGATATTTCTATTCCGAGGAATTTTTTTATTTTACTCAAAAATTCATTTGAATCTAATTATATCAATGTGACTCGAATTTAATATAGAGAGTAACATAAGAAATATTTCGTTAACGACATGCCAAATATCTATTTAAACAAAAAACAACATTTTTATATTTGTAAAGAGTTATCTCTGCGAAATTATCCCAAAAATTCATCGCTAATCTAATCTTTCTCCAGTTTCTACCAGAATATTCTACGTCTACGTAAATTATGTTTATGCATTACAGGCTCGAAAAGATAACGTTCGTACCGTTATTTCAATGAAACAAGTAGTTCCCTAATTGGAACGTAATTTGAAACTACGATTAGTTACTATAAAACGAGCAATTAACGTCCAATAATTTCTTTTCGCGATATAGTTCAGAGGTAAATCCCACGACACACGATCATTTTATAGGTTCAGGTTCGCGCTAAGATACACGATATTCTCGTGTTGCAGTTACTCTGAAATAACTCAACGAATGATCGCCGTTAGAAGTGCAAGTAACATTTTGAAACTTAGCTAAATTAGTGTAATCTACTTAGACGTTGATTAAGGTTAATTCTCGCGATAATTACTCGACCTAACTTGCTTCGACATTTTCAAAACATTTGACGTCGCGGCGGACGAAAAGAAACGAGCACGGAAAATTTTACTTTTTTTCCCTTCTTCTCTCATTCAAGCACATCGTCTAATTTTTTCTTGCTCTCGTTTACGATACATTGTTTTAATCGACCAATTTCGAGCGAAAGGCGAAGAATTCGTTTACAACGATTGGAGCGTTCTCTTGTTTCGTCGATTTACTGGAAGCGTAGTTGATTTACAACGAATGGTAAATGGAGGGGAACTGAGTCACATTAAGCAATGATTGAATAATAGGTGTAAATCCTTAACGCAGTAATTAAATATCCATCAACGTAAAAGTGACGAAGAAGCAACATTCGAACGAATAATTATACGTTGCACAAGAAGTTGCTCGCGAAGTTCTTTTCCTCTTCGAAACACTTAATTGCAACGTTTCAAATTCCAAAGTAAACGCGAAACATTGCGAATGTATCGCGGTGTAACCAGTTCTCTTTCGCAGATTTTATCGAGAAACTAATTTTTCCGAACGTTTCAAACTTGTCACTTGTCGTTTGTAATTTCGAGAAGAAAAAAAAAGCGAAAAGAAAGAAAATAGCACAAGACAACTCGTCAATCTTTCGCTATCGAGACGTTGGAAGAAACCGGAACTTAAGTTTCTCTACTCCACCCATCTTTTTTACCGCGTTAGAATAAAACGATCAATTCGACAACTAGACCATCCATGCATTAACCCGTCGAGAGCCAGTAATTATTTGTGGAGTGTTGTAAACAAGGGTAATTTCATAATTGACAAGCCTACGCGGCAGTTGTTAACTAATTGTAAGTGGAGAACCAAGGGCATCATCAGGCGCCGATCCACTCTTTTCAAACAGGCCGATTCTAAGGGATGCTTCGCTATACGATCTTCCCTTTGCCCCTCTTCCTCGGTCCGATCGAAAAATCTGAATTAGCAACGTTTGCAGAGGACTTGGAGGAACTCTCGAAAAGTCTCCACCTCGAGATTCCTCGAGTATACACGCTTTTTGCCATGGGAGAGATACAAGTTCCGAACGAACCTCGAAACGAAGTCTGAAAAGTCACGTTGAAATGTTTAATTGTAGAAAAAATGTTACCTTACCCTTTCGTGACCAATGGAACGCATAATGTTCCACTTGAGCACTCGAACAAAAATTCGTATCAATTTAGCATCCATTACAGACGCGATAAATAAGAAATTCTTAAAAAAAGAAGAATAATTCGCTCACGGAAGGGGTTCATTTCGTGCACGGAACGAAAGATGTATTAGGACACCTATTACGTTCGTAGAGAAGTTAGTATCATATTCCAGACGCGATCATTTTTTCTCAGGATTTTCATAATTTTCCAGTGTTGTAAAATTCTAATTTTCATCGTTTTCTCGATTCACGTGGAATAAGTGTCCTAGTACTTGCAAACAGAGGTGTAAGTTTCGCTGTTGCAGTAGAAATTTCTCATCGATCGTTCTCACACTTTCAAATTTCCAAATGAAACAGATCGCAATAGTAAGAATAGAACGACCGATCCCTCACCTTCGAGATAAAATAGAAAAAAAAGAAACACCTCACGATCTTCCAGATAAACGATCTATAAACCCCTTGCAAGGAGCGCGACTTACTCTCGGAAGCTTCCTCGAATTTCACCTAACCACACACTCGAGAGATTGAACACGACCGATGGTAAAACGATTGTTAATAGAGAGAGGGAGAGAGAGAGAGCTCGAATCCGAAGGTGAATCAATAAATCGGCGAATTGGCGGCGGAACGTGAGGAATTAGCGGATTCTTTTTTCTGATCGTCTGCATTTTCAGCCTGAGGAACGGTCTACAAACAAACGTCACGGAGACCAGCTTCTAGATTGTTGTCGAGAGCTCGATCGTCGTCAGTTGCATCTCTCCGACAGCAGTGTAACGAACAAGCGAAAGTAGACGCGAAATCTCGGGAGAAGACTTTAGAGAAGGAGGAAAAAGATGGCTCACGAGAACGGTATAAACGGTGATACGGATTCGGAAACGGTCGAATTGAATCCTCTAAGGAGGACCAGGTTCCACGTGAATCGAGTGGACAGCCTCGAAGGTCGTGCCAGTCTTCTAGGTGAACAAGAGACGAAAAAATCCCTGAGGCACATGACCAGAGAGGCACTGCCTAGGCTGGACAATTACAGGAACATCATGAGTATCCAGGCTGCTCATAGACCGTCTTTGGACGAGCTACACAATCCCACTCTGCTTAACAAGGTAAGGATGATGATACTTGACCATTAATAGAACCGCTATTTCTTTGTTTTATAATACGTTGGTAGTTGTGTTCATTATGGTCACGACGATGTGTGATGTTACACGTTTCACATCCTCTATAATTTGGCTAGCTTCCTCTAATGTGTTTGCACAACCTTCTCCTTCCTTTTCTCTCGAATTTCTAACGAACGCGTCACACGGTGTCAGGAAAAATCGACGGTTCGAATACAGAGATCGTTTCTATAAAATGTACTCTGCGATCGAGCTTCGAGTATTAGGGCGAGATATTAATTCTTATTTAACCGATATCACCTTACATAACACCGTTCATCGCACGAACTTCTCTACGCTTGCCTCCATTATGAAACATCAATTCCGAATAAACGATTAATCGTGTTATTGGTTATCGGATGAATCAGACGGTCTACGGAGTCCCTGGGCAATGTTGCAAAGTGGACAAACAATATGATTAATCAGACGAGATGATCTAAGGAAAAACGAATGTACTATATGTAGGTCACTCGAAACTTTCCCCCTGTTCGTTGCTTAAGGGTCAAGTGTTAAATTTCAATGAACATTCGTTCAGGGACTTTTCTAAACGCTTCTACGACACGCGTTGCGCTTGCTCTTCCTGATTCGAAGCACAGCGGCTGTAATAACGTTAGAGCACATGCACGAGGTACGATGATGCGTCGTCGTGTACATTGACATTCACCCATTTCTTAGCTCCGTTCGTCCCTTATCTACGACCCTCTCTCGTCAACTACTCCGATCTAAAATTAAACAAGTGTAGTAAACGTGCTCCGCGGTGGACTCGCTCGTGCACAAATTCCTCCTCTGCTTCCTCAGACGTCTGTCGGCTGTATATGTATGTATGTCCACGCGTTTCTTCCTCGTTAACTTCGCCGCGATTAAATCATTTATCGTTCTACAACGACTTGTTTCTTTTTCAGGGAGAGAGAGAGAGAGAAAAGAAAGAAAAATAAAAGGAAAATTGAACGGTCGAGAGATGATTGTTGCAAAAGTTGAAAAAAAAAAAATGAAAAAGAAGGAAGATAATAGGGAAACGGACGTGCATGTACATATCGCGAGCGCGTTTGCGAGTCGCGCGATTTTCTTATCTTAATTTCGTGTCGCGACGGTGATTTATCGAAAGGCTGATATTAAAGGTTTGCAACTAGAATTTTTATTAGCGGCTGAATCGACGTGTCTTTGAATCACGTATCGGTCCCGTCCGCGATATTTACGGTCGCGCTGAGTGAAAAATGCTTGGCCTCCTTTAAAGATCTCTTTCTTTTCCTTTCATTCGTTGTTTTTCTTTTTTCGGAAATGACGGAAACGCGGCGGGATTGTGTTTCGTGTTTTAATACAGGCGACGATACAATTTAACGTAAGATGATAAGAGATTTACATAATGTGGTTCGTAGATAATGGTTATTAATAGATTTTCTTTTGCTCGATTCACACGGAAGGACGCGTTTTATCGTGGTATTTGTAGTATTCTACGATAGATGCGGGTTTCTCTTTAAACTTACACGTAATACATGTGCTCACGTGTGTACGGTGCAAAATAGAATCTTCAGTGCTTATAATATTTGTAATTTCAAACAGAGATTGTTCGTACTTCGTTCGTTATAATTGGTCTACTCTTATTTCCTTCATCTTTGGTCCTTACAATCCTTGATGAACCTTACAATTTTTCATTCTTTCCAACGTGTAATTCAAAGCAAACTCCCGGAGAAATTTCTGAGATTACGAATTAGCTTCGTTCCGAAAATAAACGCTCAACACGATACGTATCGCGGTAGATAAATCAGAAAATCTCAGCTGATCCTCGGCGAATGATATTTCACACGTAGGATCTAACGATCGAGGCAACGTTCTCGATATCGAAACCTCGCGTACAACCAAAGATTTTCCAAGCGAACGTTCTCCTCCAGGGATACAATTTATCGTTGCAAATAACACCGCGGTATTAAACTAGATGAACCTAAACGAATCTGATTTAATACTGAACACGGTACTTACACAGCAGCTAAACGAGTGAAGCAAGAAGTAAATATCGCGTTCCACGAACTGCTGTTAGAAATAATAGCTAATAGCCAGAAGGGTCGCTTAATTATACCCTATTGTACAAGTACATTGTTTAAGAAGTGTTCGCGGCGTGGTCAAAATTGTTCCCTGATTTATTTCTTCGTATTATCCAGCGCTAAATTATCCACCATCGTTCTGTCTATCTATCTCTATCGAACGAGATCATCGTTCGAACGTTGATCGAAGAACAATTTCCAAGAGTTTGTTTTCTTTTTTTTCTTCTTTTTCACAAAGTCTCATCGTGTGTTTAGCTAAATATAAGCCTGGCTAAACTGATTGCCACGACGAAATATGATATGTCCGGCACAACCGTAGCAATGTAACGGCTTAAATCCATCATCTAGATTGCCCCTGACACGGGGTTAACTATAATTCAACCTAAATAAATTTTGGATACGATTCAGTACGATGTTGCCTCGTGGTGAACCCCGCGTGTTACCCGGTTTAATTCGATTTTCCAGCAGAATAGGCGACGGCAGAAGGTGAAAAAGCACGAACGAGCAATTGCTTTTCATCCAGAAGAGAAAGCTATAGAAAGTTCCTGTGTACCTGTGTAGCGGAACTTTCAAATGGGATTAGGGAGGAAAAGGAATGTAAAATAACGGTGATGGAAAATTCGTGAAAGCTTCTCACGTAGGGCTGGTTAACCTGATAACTGTGCAAGACAAGTTAACTCGTCGTTGGTTAGCCAATTCTTCGGACAACGATAATTAATTTATCAAAGGATGATTCGTTTTTATTTTAAGGCTGTATCGAACGTAAAATACATCCTATTCACGTTTGCAAGAAATAGAATATCATTTTTTAAATTTGAAACTAGGCAAATTCAATTTAGGTTCGAAAGGTGAAGACAGTTCAGAGGTGAAGCGATAAACAGGTAAAACGCCTGTGTACAGCTTACCGTTCGCGCGTTCAGGCATGGAAAACCTCTTCTAACTCTTAATTTCGTTTCTTCCTGTTGTTTCGCGGCCAGGTGAGTCGATATTTCTGTTTGTACTACTCGCAAAGTAGTAGCACGGACCGAGTATCGGCTGCGTTTTACGGAAGAATTTATTACTCGCAGGAGTTAATAAATCGACGGTGCGCAATGCAAATTAAGCGGCGGTGTTGTCTTTCGAAACCGTCGGAGCTCATTAGCGATGCGTCGTTTTACGAGGGTTTTAACGAGAAAATCAAGAGCTATTGGTAAATATTGAAAAGCGAGAGGCGTGAACAATATTTATTTTTAGAGGCGCGTATCGTATCCGACCGGAGTGAAGACAAACAGATCGTTGAATCGTTATCTCTGTACAATCGACAGAACTAATTAGCAACGTGTGTTTCATAGAGATGAAAATCGACGGTCCTTCTTTTTTTTTTTTCGTCGGTCTGACACTCTTCTGAAAAACGGCAGACACGAGTAGGGATTATTTTTAAACGCATCTCGGACACGGCGCGGTTTCGTCGTGGATCGATCGGAAAATTTCTCTCTTGCTAAAAAAAATCTTGGAAAATGTACGCGATCGCTGTATAAGTATACAACATTCGTAGTTTGAAGCAGGTTAAAATAGAGACCCCCCACGTTCGGCTGAACAATTAATGCATCACTTGAAGTGATCATAAATGCCACAAGACTGTCTCATCCGCTGCGCAATGCTCGGTTATTCGAAGTATGTATTCGTTCGAGAAATTGATATCTTTGTTAAACCACGCTCGAATGTATCAGCGTATCTCCGATGAATTCTAAATCAATTTGTCCACTTTTATCGCTAATGTCTTTCTCATTTTTATCTATCTATCTATTTCTCTCTCTCTCTCTCTCTCTCTCTCTCTCTGTCTCTTTGTAATGCATTAACATACAAAAGACATAATGAAGCACGTATCAACGTGCACTCATTCTTATTATTCCATCGTATCAATCGACAAGCGCGAAAGGTCAGCGATGAATAACCGACTCGATTTAACGCAATTGAATTAATTACGTGTAAAATCGATCGAACACGTGGTAGAAAGAAAACGACGAAGGAAAATT